CGCCAGATTTTCTTTTCTTTTCCCTCTCAAAATATGTTTTGTTCCACATACCTGTCAAAGGATATCTCAGAGAATTCTGGCAGAAGGAATAAGATGGTACCTCTCATAAAAGCCTTTGGAGAAATTTGAAGTGATAAGTTTTAAAAATATCACATCCAGTGCTTTTTTTTTTTTTTAAGATATGAACAGAAGCAGACACAAAAGGTTCAAGCTCCTCTCTGTTGTTCATGATTCATTTTCCCCAGTTGTGATTAAAGGAGGCTCACACTCCAAAAACAAGGGATAGGGAGGACAGGGATGATAGGTAGAGAAGAACTTTTAAGAAAAATGGATAGAAATTAACCTCTAATCTTTGACAGAATTGCAAATACCAAATGATTTTTTTTTACCAAGAGAAAAATCTCCCTTCCAGAACCCTAAATGAGATATAAATAGAACTTCAAATGAAAGTTCTTAAGACTTACCATAGATGATGTCCTAAGTTGTAATATGAATTCCAACTGATAAGAAATGAGCGACATATTTTGTTTTTATACCTGTCTCATAGATAATTAATTATAGTGCTTAATAAAGATCAGAGAATTTCTCACCTACATTTAAAAGTTCGGTTCAATATTTAGTACTAATATGCATATAAACAAAGCAAAAACATTTCTTATGTTCATGATACTGAAAAACTTTGAGGTGAATAGATGAGATGTATTCAGTGTCTCTGAGCGGCACTAATACATTGCATCTGTCTTTGCTGCCCTGATTTTAAACGAGTCTAGTTATACAGCAAAGGGGGAAAGGAGAACCAACACAAAACCCTCTTGCAGTTGGTGGCTGGGCTCCCCCTAATTAATGAGGATCGCCCACCCAGGTACAGGATGCTGGGAGTGAGAGGGGCTCTGATCCTGGGAGATGCTGGAGTGGGCTCACTGCAAGCTCCCAACACAGAAGGATAAGCTGCCTCAAACAAATTTGGTACCTCTTCCCACATTCACTCACCAAATGATTCAGTCCATCTTTTCTGCAGAAAGCAAGGGGGAGAGAAAGGAAATGCATATCAGTTGAATCTCCTCCCCTGAAGGGAAGAATTGCAACTGGGGAGACGTAGCCCTCCCCAGCATGTATCCAAAGACCCAGATGAAACTTACAAATGTAGAGCAATGATTTTGTAGGCCTTTTGTAACAGTCAGCTCTTCTATACCTAAATTTTGATTTCTTTCTCTTAGAGATACCTACAGGTTAAAATCTACATGGAAGGGGACATGCTGATTTTACCCAATATTAGAGTGTGCATATCTTGTTTACTCATTTATTCACTTGCTCATCTAACAAATCTTAATTAAACACCAAGAACACTGCAGGCACTCTGAGGCAGTGGAGATGAGAGGGTAGGGAGTTGGACGCCCATTTATCTTCACATAACTTAAACTTAGTCAGTAAAGTAGACATTTAAATGTGTGGCATGCTTTGCTGGGGCTGGGGTCTTGGGAGTAGCTGCTGACACAGAGTGACATTCAGCTGGAGGCCTGGAATGAGCTGATCTGGTGAGTATGAGTGAGGGGAGAAGTGTGGAGGAGCGGGGAACTTGGGGCAAAGTCTCAGCAGAAGGATAGTTGGAGGAGCCAGAGATTTCGTGGCTGAAATTTTGCGTTCTCTATTTTAATTCATCTGTGGTTCACTTGGAACAAATCTTTAAATTTATATAAATCTCTGAGAAAGAATCCCATTTCTATATTTGCACTATTTAAAAGCCCGATTTACAAAACATTAATTCTTTTTGTTACTGGCTTTAATGCTATTAATAGTCATTTTATTCTGTACCTTTTTTTGGTTTTGTTTTCTTTATCTGTACTTTGCTTGTCATAGTTTGTCAAGCAAAATTTGACCTCTATGAAGGTTTACATGAGAAAGGCAAGGGCATTCCGAATGATTTTCTCTTATAATAATGATAATAATAAATTTACTTATTATTGTAGATAATAATAATAATAATAATAATAATAATAATAATAAAACAATGAGTAGCCTCCTCTTCTTGGTCTTGTTTCCTGTAAGTTCTCCTACTCCATCTGTTACTTTTCCATATGCAAACTCTTGTCTTTCTTTAGAATTTCTCTTGTGTCTTTATTGATTGATTCTATATTTTAATGAGCTTTTCTTAAAAAAGAGAATACTCTGCCTGTTGGCTCTCAGTTCCATGTCCTCTCTTATCACACAAGTCTGAGAGGATTCTCTGGGAATCTTCTAAGTCGTGGGATCTATTTCCTGCTCTGTTAGGTCTACTGTTGTTCCAAATATGGATTTCAAACCTTAGTTATATTTCTTTACAGTCTTTTGTTAATCTATTCTGCTCTTAAAATAAAAGGTGTCTCTGTTTTAAAACTCTATTATGTCCACTCATTTGATGGGCAGAAAAATGTGCAGTGGCTAAAAATACACTCTGTGGATCCAGGCTGCAGGGACTGTACTAGGACTCTAGTTTGTTGTTCTGTGTTATTTGTGTAACCAACCTGTGCCTCAGATACCTCATCTGTCAAACAAGGACGATAATATGCATGTCTTACAGAGCTGTGTGAAGAATAGTCAATTCATATAAAACATTTAGAATATTAAGTAGTTAATACCTTAATTTCTAATTACCCTACATTCTGTGTTTTACTAAATTATTCAGAATAATTTCATCTAAATAATTGTTACATGCATCAATATGTCTGTGTTTTGTTTCCCAATCTTTTTTGTGGGGGGATACTCGGGATTGAACTCAGGAGCACTCAACCACTGAGCCACATCCCCCAGCCCTATTTTGTATTTTATTTAGAGACAGGGTCTCACTGAGTTGCTTAGTGCCTCACTTTTGCTGAGGCTGGCTTTGAACTTTGGATCCTCCTGTCTCAGCCTCCTGAGCCACTGGGATTACAGGCTTGTTTCCCAATCTTTTGAGGCAGCAAGTTCTATTCAATCTTAGTTCCCCCTAATTCTTGATTCTTTCCATAATTCATTTGGATGTCCTTAAATGTATCTTCTCAGTTATTAAATGGATGGATTAATTGGTGTGTATTTCTTCCAGTCAACTTTCTTGGGGGTTGCAGTATTTATTTGTGGTCTAGTCATCTAAGGACAGAGCCCTCTGTTCTAGGCATTTTAAATATGGTGGAGCTAACTAGAGAGAAAAAAAAGGGAAAAGAAAAAAAAAGTGGGGAGGGATTTCATGAAACAGACCAAAGACCAATAGAACAGAGAAAGGGGACTAGGGAAGGGAGGAGGGAAAAGAAAGAGGAAATACTGGAAAAAAATAATCAAATTATATCATTATGTCACATGCACATATAAGTATTTAACAATGAATCCCACCGTTATGTATAATTATAAAGCACCAATATAAAAAATATGGTGGAGCTGAAGGTTGGCCTACTGGAGAAGCCATTTATTATTCTTTCTTTTCAAGGAAGAGGGAATTACAGTCCATAGCTGGCATTGCTTCCACAGTTCTTCCAGCTTCAGTTCCTAACACTTAGTCCTTTACACACTTCCTCCTTAGCCCTTCCCAGTGTCTTCACTCCAGCCATCCTGCACCACCAGGGAACTGATTGTCTTGGGGAGAGAGAAATTAATGGTGCATGCAATAAATTTAGTATTCATAAAGTAGTACCCATGTGATAAACAACTTCTTACCTTCTTTTTGATAAAGGTTGTGTCTATGAGCAAGTTGTGTAGTGGGTGAAGATGGAAATCCTCAAGTCTCATGGTTTGCATCTTTTTATCCACCTGAAAAGGAAGTAGGAGATTGTGGTTGAGAATTCACTGTGTGAACTCACACAGACCCGGTTCAAATTCTAGCTGGTAGCTGGGTAGCCCAGGTCAAATCAGCTCATCTCTTTGAACTGGAGTTTTTTCATCCATAATAAATGGACATAATGAAAGTGCTCCAGGTTCATGTGAAGTTTTAGAGAATTCAAGAAATGGCAGTTATGATTAACCTGGAAACATCCTTCCATTAACTCACCCCCCAACCCCCACCACCATTTGTATAGAAAGCTGAAATTATGGACAGGTGCCTACAGGGCTGTCAATGGTAGGGTGATAGCAAACAGGGTTGCAGAGGGCTCAGGGCTGATGTAGTCAGCTGACTTGGAGACTGAGGCATATGAATCACCCAATAGCCAAATTCTCCAAATTCCAGAAACAATTGAGAAATGTCTCTGCAACACGGCCTATCTCATGTATGCAGAACTTGATGGTCCTCTTTCCTGTCCCCTGCTTTGGTGTTGATGCAATGACTGCTGTGGGCAAGCTATATTCTCATTATTCCTAGGACTAGCACTTTCTGGACATTAGCTACCTCCCTGAATGAAGGGACCCAAGGGGTTCAGGCTTCCATCTCTTTATGACCCTTGATGTAGAGACCTTTTCTTCTTCATGTTGGATCTCTTCACCAATCTCAAAGCCCTGTTTCTCTTTTTTGAAGACAGAACTTGCTTGTTTCTATTGGTGCCCAACACCCATAACATTTCAAATCTAATTTGTTTTTCTATACCTGTGACCTTTCCTTCTTCTTTTTGTTTTAAACTTTAATATACATTCCCCAATGCTTTGCATACATTATAGGAGAGACAGTATCCTCAAATTAACCTTAGAGACAGAAGCTAAGTATTAATTCATTAAAAGGGGCAATCACATTTATAATAAAATAATTTGTTGTTGTTTTTCTACCAATTTGCCACAGAACATAGTTTGAACTTTGGTTTGGGAATTAGAAATTGGATCCTGGCAGATTCCTTTCTGGAATTTGTGGTTTCTAGTACTGTTGAAACTTTTTATTTTTCTTTGTGGTTTTATGAAGGCAAATCAAGAATCACTAACCTTCCAATGTCTTGTCTCAGGCTCATTTATATTTATGGAATGGGTAAATTTTAGTCTTTGCATACAAAGAGGTTCAATTTTATGTACATTTCTATAAAAATGTTGATGACTAATTTAATAATTCTTCATAATGTTACTTTCTCTTTCAGCTGAATTTTATTCTGTTTCTGAACACTGTTAGAGTTCTGGCTACTAAAATTTGGGAGACTAATGCAGTCGGGCATGACATGAGAAAACAATACAGGTAACTCCAGAATAGGTCTCTATCAGAGGAAATATTTTAGTTACTATTTAAAAAACAAATATCAATTGATTTGAAATGTATTTAAGGGATTAAATTTATCAATGTGTGTTTGTGTATCATTTATGTAATTTTAGATAAATGCATATTTTCAACATGTAAATAATCCCAAACCTTCCTTCATGCTTAAATTTTAAGTATATTTTTAATCTGTTTTTAGTAGGTTGGTATTTTTCTATAAATCATATGAACTCTTGGACAATCTCTTATTGATGATTTAGAGAATTTTGTCTGCATTTAAAAATGTGTCATAACTGGCAATAATCAAGAAAGAAGACTTCTTGTTTTGTGTCCGATCCTTTTATTGAATCGGCACCTACCAATATAAACTTTCAAGAACTTTCAAATGTCCTGATTGAAGGAGATCCGTTATTTAGCCTTTCATGAAAAAAAAAGGGCAAATTGAGTATTAATAAGAATCACATCAAACTATCTTAGGAGTATATCCATTTCTCCCAATGATCATTTTGGATATTCTGAGTAATAGTGGCCTCTATCCAACTAAACATGCACATAACCAGGTGGATGTGGATTAGTCTTTTCGATTCCTAAACAGGTAACTATTTCTTTCTGCCTCAGGTTGTTATGAAGTGTTATCTCAATTACAGAAAGGAATAATCCATGGTCAACATTTTGATTCTCTTTCACTTATGTTCTTTAAGCCCTTTGCTGATTATATTTAGGCAGCATTTGTTGCTGAGCAGCAATGACTGCAGGTATGACCTGGAGTCTAGACAGGATGCATGGTTTGGGATTAATCACCAGCTCCCAGCTCCAGATATTTCCAATGCTGCAAATGGTGGTATTGTAATATAAATTGTGCATAAGAGTTTATAGCAGTTTTCTCAACTAAAAAAAAAAAAAAAAAAGAGTTTATAGCAAAGAACCTAGGCTACACTGTTTTGTCATGTGTTAGGTCCCATTGGTGAAGGCAGGGGCTAAAGGATGCTAGAACAATGGAAGGTATAAATAGCCTTTCAATCTTCATAAACTAAAAATGTGCATTGGTATTTGGAAACTACTTATTTCTCTAGTTCTGAATATAAGCTGATAATTCTATAGTTCTGAATGATGTGAGCTTGTGTTCTTAGGAAAAAAATTGCCCAAGATATTTGAGAAACTGACGGGAACAAAGGTTGGCTTATCTTTAATATTAATTGAAGAGAAAATATTTAGAGTTAATTCATGGGAAAATTATTTCTCAGAATAATTGAGAAGAATAATTTAGCTACTATTCAGAATTCAGAATAAGTTTTTAATAATCTGGTGCTCAGAAGTTTTTAAAGTTTGAAGTTGTTAATGACTAATAGAAGTCAGGGAAAGTTTATTTTCAGCTATATATATCTTTTTTTTCATAGCTGAAACATATTTGATAATCTTAATAATGTCCAGAGTTAAACCGCATATAAAAATGTAGTAGAAAAAGAAAACTTTATTTTTTAAGGAAAAAATATGGAAAACTACTTGGCAGCAATTTGGAAATTCAATTCGGTATTCAGTTTCTGAGGCCTTAGATTATAAAGTTTCACCTTTTAAGTAGACTTAAAAAAATGAAATTTGTGTCCCTGTCTCAATGAGGCTTTTTGGTTATTTAAATTTATATCCACAGTGGTTGAGTATTTAAATTTATATTAATTCATTTTTGTACTTTAAAGCATATTTCATTTTGTTATTAGCTTTCTCTAACAAATGTTCAACTATTCTTGATAAAATAAAACAGTACAAAATATAAAGTGTCCAGTGGTGACATCTAAAACAGCACATTTCAATGCATAATACTATGAAAGACTAAAAACACCTTAGAGCTAAGATCCTCTCCAGGTGAGGATGTGGTTACACACATCCTTTACACACAGTCTTTTTAAAAAGACTTTTGAAAAGTACATAAGACTCCTTTGTTGATAAAGTGAATTAAAATGGAAATGAATGAATACAATCAGTTTTTAAAATAACTTCATTTAAAGATAATCATAGATTCACATGTAGTTGCAGAAATAATTGAGAGAGGACTCATATATATCTTTCTCCGAGTTTCCCCCAGTGGTGACATACTGTGTATAGTTTACAGTTATTTTAAAACAAGATTGATGTGAAAAAATTAATCTCTCAGATTTAATGGCAAATTCTTATATTTTTCCCCTTTTAAATCACAATTTGATTCCTTTGCAAAGTAAGAAAAGTTGCTGGGATTGGAAAAACATTTGAACCATGAAGGATTACATATGCAAGATTCAATGAGAAAGAATATTTCAATATTTTGATTAATATGATTTTTCCACTCAATGACAAACAAAAATCATATTTCATGTTTGTTTTTAGAATAAATTCAACCAATACTTACATGTACAATGATAGTAAAGAGGACAGGTTTTAAGACTGAAACATCACTTACTGTATAATCTGGGTGAGTACTTTTCTCTGAACCTCTAACCTGACCTGGAAAGGGGGTAATGATAGCTCTCTCACATGGATGCTGTCAGAATAACATGATGCAGCCAGTGCAAGATGCAATAGGGACATGGTGTGACCTTGAAACCACAATCTAGTGGGAGGGAGAAAAGGAGGGGAAGGAAGGGAGAGAGAGAGAAAGTGAGAGATTAATTTAATCTCCCCCCTAAAGGAGGAAGGTACCAGTAGGCATGTATCTATGAGATGCTATGTGCACAGAAAGAGAACAAAAATTAATTAAAAACCAGAAAGGATCAAGGAAATTCGTTTTCTTTTCTTTTCCTTCCTTCCTTCCTTCCTTCCTTCCTTCCTTCCTTCCTTCCTTCCTTCCTTCCTTCCTTCCTTCCTTTCTTTCTTTCCTTCCTTCCTTTCTTCCTTCTTTTTTTTAAGGAAAATGTGATTTTCTTTTCTTTTTTTTTTAACTGTACGGTTTATTTTTATTTTTTTTTTAGTCATACATGACAGCAGAATGTATTTTGACATATGTGATTTTTCTAAAGACATGTAAAGATTTTCCAGAGCACTTCATTGGGAGACATCACTTAGGGACTGATAGCACAAAAAATGGGCATCTATTTTCTAGGCAGTACACTGAGTTCTCAAAAACCATTTGACTCCTTTGTTTTCTTCTCGTGGCTTTCCCTATGAACACAGACCATCACCCATTTCCAGCAAGCCAGAAGACCACCATTAGTGAATAATCCCTAAATCATCTCCTTAGACAGCTGTGCCTTTGCAGACAGCCAAGCCGTGAAGATGTACAGTATACACGGGTGACCAGATGGACACTGAAAAAAATATTAGTGTCCAGAATTGCTGGATGCCCGATCTTAATGTAGACAGATGATGATGTGTGTACATTTGCTTGCACATACCCCTGCTTTAATTCATTTATTTCCATTGCACAATACATTCCAAAAGAGGATGTGATCACAGTTTACACAGAGATAAATGAACACACTTTAAATATTTAACTCATTCATCAATGAGGGAAGTGGTATAATTGCAAATGTTTCAAAAGAGAAGATAGATTCAGATAATGGATGCTGAAATGAATTTACAAATGGATGCACACCAGAAAAACTTGTCAATAACTACAGAGCTACACAGTTAGTGGCCTTCTCAGGCATCCTTTGCATTTCTGTAGTAGGCTGGTTTCTAAGGTAGCTCCTAAGATTCCTAGCCCCAGGTGTAAAAGCCTTGTATAATTACTGTTCCCCCACTCACCTGGAGTTTGAGCAAGACTCATGATGAGACAGTTGCTATCCCCTTAGTTAGGTTACATTGTATGACAAAGGAAGTGGGCTAGTCACTCCTCTGAAGTGTTATATAGATTCCACCCTGGAAGCCTGGAGAGATTCTCCTGCTGGTTTTAAAAAAGTAATCTGACGTGCTGTGAGGGCCTGTGACCAGGACCTGAGGGCAGCCTGTAGGAATTGAGTGACCCTGTTTGCATCCAGCAGACCTCTCTACCATTGTAAGAAAAGAAGGTCTTCTAGAAATCTAAATGAGTGTACAAGAGAACCCTGAGGTCCACAGGAGATTGCAGCTCTGGCTGACGCTGTGATTTCAACCTTGAGAGACCCTGAGCATAAAACTCAAGTATACCATGCCTGAACTCCCGGTACTACATAAAAACAGAGCAATAATAAATGGGTATTGCTTTAAGGCAGTAGTTTTGTGGCAATTTATTATATAGTAATAGAAAACAAATATAATTACTATCAATTTTCTGCATATCAACTTTTAGCTTTACACAGAGATTAAAAAAAAAGTCAGACAAAGAGGGAAAAATCCAGAGGATTCAGGTAAAAGGGTATTTCCTATATTCTGTTGCCTAATGCAACTTTCCTAAACTTTGATGTTTGTGACCATTTCACTATCTATTGCTTTTCTCTATTTCTTTGTTTTAATCTAGTTTTGGGCTCTTAGCCACACATAGTAAGAACAGAGTTAGCTTGATTTTGAGAACAATTCCCAGGGGGATTTACTCTTCCTCTTGAAGAGGGAAATATAATTTTCTTTTCTGAGTGATGTTAGACAAAACATTTAAGCTTCTGCAAGTAAAGTTGACATTGTCACTTTGTATATGATTAGCTGGAGTTAAAATGGCTTTCAGGTATTCAAAGTGTCCTGTAGTCTTGTCACATGGGAAGACAGGGTTTATGGATCAGGTTCAGGAAGACAAGCACATGCAAAGATCTCTGAAAGCTACAGGTCGGAGAAACCCATTGCTCCTCAGGAATACTGTCTTGAATTAAATGGACTTAATGTAGAATTTTCAAATTGAATGGACTGTAGGTAATGCAAGGTATGAGATATTTGCACTAGGAGCAGCAGAGGAAACCAGGGGCTTGAGGGACAGGTGGATGGCACTGAGCCTAGAGGAACATGTGGTCCATGCACTCCTGAGAGAAAAGACAGACAGCAGAGAATGAGGTAGAGCAAATGTGCAACTCCAGACATCTCAATAGGTATTACAATATGCTTTTGTGAGACACTTCATCTTCTATAGGAGTTGGTAAGAAAGATGTGATAGAAAAGTATACATGTGCACACACAATTTGATCCCTGGTAAAGCATCATAATATTAAGCTCTGTAGACTTCTGTGCCCTCTTCTGTCATTGCAGAGATGAGGAAACTGAACCACGGTCGGCACAAGTATTTAGGAAGGTCTAGAATCTGAATCCAGTTCTTTTTAGTCTTAGTCCAGTGTGGCCTCAACTCACCTACACAATTTCTTTCCAAGAAGAAAATTAAATTAATAGATAAAGCAGCTGGACACAAGACTAGTGAGAACAGAAGAAGGTTGAGATTATTGGGTGTAAATGATTCATAGAGAAAGAGGGTAATATGAGAAACAAATTCATAGAGAAAGAGGGCAATATGAGAAACAAGTAAGAATGAAGACACATTTGGCAATTTCTTGGGTAAAAAAGTGCAAACAAAACAAAACCAACCAACAAGCAGAAAGTGGTGCACTTGGATGTGCTAGCTAGCTATGGCTGCAAAATGAATGACCACACCAAGTGGCTTAAAAAATATACTTGCCATTTCTGTTTCTGTAGCTCAGGAATCCAGGTCTAGGTCCTCCACTTCAGTCTCTTACAAGGCTGCAGTTGAGAGGCCAGTTGGGGCAGTGATTTTATGTCAGGGTTGGACTGGGGAAGTTCACATGACTGTTAGTAGGATTCAGTTACTTGCTGGATATTGTCTAGATGTCATTTTTTCTCACCACTTGGGCCTCCCGACAGCAATTCACAATGTGGCAGCATCCTTCACTGAAGAAGCAAGGGAGAGAAAGAGTCTGCTAGGAAGAGGAAAGTTATAGTCTTATGCAACATAATCACATATGTGGCATCCTCTTATCTTTGTTAAAGTCTATTGGTTAGAAGCAAGTTGCTGGTGCTGCCCACATCAGGAAGAAGGGACTGACAAGGATATAAATAACAAGAGGTAGGGTCATCAAGAGACATTTAGAATAAGCCCATCCAGGGAGACAGAACCAATAGGACAGATATAGATAGATAGGTAGGTGGTAGGTAGATAGTTAGATAGAGATATACTAGAGGGGGCTTTTGGGGAGAGTTGGCACATGTGATAATGGAGGTTGAGAGATCCCATGACAGGTGTACATGCCTTGTATAATTACTGTCCCCCTGTAATACCAGGGGCACCAGTAGCATGGTTCAGTTCAAGTCCAAAAGGTTTAGAACAAGGGGAGCAAATGATAGAACCCTCAGTCCAGGGCAAAGGCTGGAAAACCTAAGGGGCTGCTGGTTCAAGTGCCAGAGAACAACAGCTGGAGAAACTGGCGTTGTCATGTCCAACTACAGGAGAAAAAGAGAGCTGTCCAGAAGAGAAAGGACAAATTCACCTTTCCTCTGCCTTTTTGTTCTATCTGGGTCCCCAGCTGATAGGATGGGGCCTGCTCACATTCAGGGCAGGTCTTCCCCTCTCAGTTCACTGACACACGGCACTTCAAAGCCACAGAGAGGGATGAAAGAGGAGGTTGCATGGGAGCAGGAAAGCAAGGATAAGACCCCAGTGACTAGATGGCCCCCTGCAGTCTCCCCTGCAAGCACCTTCATAAACACCCTGGAGAATCCTCTGCCACTTCTCAGGGTTTCCCTTCATCCAAGCATGTCAAAACCTACAATCAACCACCATACCATCCTCTTGGAAAAACCCAGGAAGGATTACTCTAAATACAGAAGAAAATGTGTATGATGATCCCATTAAGGGAAATAATATCATGAAATCACCTAGTCTGAAGATAGAACAAAAAGTAGACAAATAGAACTATATAGGTAATAAAGTTTAAGATAGAGTAGTGTATGACAGAGAATATTCTGAGGAGGCAGGTGGAAATAAGTGCATGTCGCTCATAAAGAAATACAAAATGTCTCCAAGAGTAGTTGATTTTAAGATGAACAAAGCAGCCAAATCCTGCCTAGGAACATGAAGGCAGTTAATGTGGATGGAGGAGATGTGTCTTTAAATCTCAAACATAAGAGGACTTAGGACAGAAGAAAAGCACTTAACAACTTTGTAAAAATAGCCTCCTATAATCAAGAAGAGTGAAATGAGTGGAGATATTTAGGGGATATTAATCATGGGAAGTGAGAATCAACTACCTGATTCAGTATAAAATTGACAGGAAGAGAAGGAAGGTGGTGGTGGGGGGGCTAGCAGGAGTGGTGGAATCCAAAGACAGGTGGCTTCTGTTAGCAATGCTTAACCTAATTTTTTCCAGCAAGCTGCCTCTGCTGAAAGAACGTTAGGCTGATGAATAAAAAGGCTTGCTGCTGTCTTTCAGGAAACTTGCCAAGTCCACGCTGGTCCTCGTACTGGTCTTTGGAGTGCATTACATCGTGTTCATCTGCCAGCCCCACTCCTTCACAGGGCTCTGGTGGGAGATCCGCATGCACTGTGAGCTCTTCTTCAACTCCTTCCAGGTAAAGGGGGCCATCTAGTCACTCGGGTCTTATCCTTCACTTTTCCTGCTCCCATGCAACCTCCTCCTCCACCCATCACTTTGAAGTGCTGTCTTCTGAGGCCTTCAGGGCACAGTGTTCAATGGCACTTGTGGTTTTCCATCCTAGAGGTCTGGTTAATTCCCTGACCCCAGCAGAAGCAGCCCTGGAGCTGTTTCTCACAGGAACAAGCCTAGGCAGCAAGATAAGCAAGTATATTGTTATAAAATATGTAACTCCTGCAGAGCTTTTGTGTGTGGAAAATAAAGGGAAGCCAAAGAAGGCTCTGGCAGGGAAAAGTGAAAAAAGGGGGTGGGGAGGTTTAAAAGGGAAAAAAAAGAGGAAAAGCTTGCCACTACATGTTTTATCTCCTTTGAAATAGGATGGCCATGATCCCTTGCACTGATTACTCTTCACCTTGCCACCTCCTACCTCCTTGAGTCTAGTCTATACGTAATAGTCTGAAGAATCTTGAAATATATAAATTTGACCATGGTACTTAACTTGCCAGGAATATCCACATATTTAAAGTTGAAATGCCATTTTCTGGCATCCACAGTCCTGCCTGGATGGAGATGGTATGAGGTAGCCCAGGATGTTGTAGGCACCCCAGTGTGCTATCATTGCCACACTTCTGTTCCTCAAGAGGCGCACACTTGCTGTTCTTTTTGCCTGGAAGGCTTCATACAGCTGGCTTCTTGTTCTTATCATTCAAACCAACTTAGATGTCACGTCTTCAGTTATATATTGGTTCCTCATCTGCTATACCTATTGGTCTCTCTAACACCATTTATATTACCTGCAAATGCTTATCATCTTTTTTTCCTCATATGGTTATTTGTTTGTGTTTTATCCATGTTTCTTCTTTTCCAGAACTGTTTTGTTTATATTTGCATTGTCTTGCTGAACCAATCCTAACACACTGTATAAGCTCAATAGATATTTTTGAGTAAATGAACAGATTCTTTTTAGTCTTATCATATACTATTTTATGTCTCTGGTTTCTAGCATTCATAGTCTATACATATCTTTTACCAACCTGGGGATGGGAAGATGTGCTCCTTGAGTGGCAATATAGATGAAACTAGTTAATAGCAATCAGTTGTAGCTGAGTGTGGTGGTGCATGCCTGTAATCCCAGGGACTTGGGAGACTGAGGCAGGAGGATTGCAAGTTCAAAGTCAGCCTCAGCAACTTAGCGAGGCCTTAAACAAATTAGCAAGTCCCTATCTCAAAATAAAAAGAATAAGAATAAAAAATGGGCTGGGGAGATCGTAGCTCAGCAGTTAAGTACCTCTAGGTTAAATCCTAGTACCCCCCCCCCCAAAAAAAAAAAAAAAAAAAAAGAAAAGAAATCAGATTTTTGCTGTCTTGGAGCATTGTATTCAGTTAGTTATTCCACTCAGTTAGTGAACACCAAGGAGAGAATCGTAACAAATTTAGTGTAAATGTAAGGGTTTGGAAACATTAAGAAAAAGTAATTGAGTTGTCAGTGGGCTAACAGTGTCTTTGTTCTGCAGGGTTTCTTTGTGTCCATCATCTACTGTTACTGCAATGGAGAGGTAGGTCTGAAGGAACCCCTAAAAGTCAACAGAACTAGCCCCAGATAAGCTTGTACTTTAGTCCATTGTATGTTGCTATAACAGAATACCTGAGAGTGCATCATTTAAAAAGAACAGAAATTTCTTACAGTTCTAAAAGCTGGACAGTCCAAGTTGGGGGCCCGCCTCTGGCAGAGGTGTTCTTGCTGCATCATTGCAGTGGAAGGAAATGGGACAAGAGAGATTGCACTGAGAAAGATAAAACTTAAAACCTCAAGTTCTTTCCTAACTGGCATTCATCTATTCATGAGGGTGGAGCCTTCAGGACCTAAACATCTCTACTAGGCCCCACCTCAGAAAAACTGTTCTCTTGAAGATTAAATGTGCAACCTAAGTTGGGGCAATACATTCAAACCAGAGCAGCATATAAATGGTCATCACAATGTGAGCTGAATCTCTTTGGAGGATTCCCAAGATTTACAAGACAGATGGATAGGGAGAATGAAGGCGATTTAATCATATATTCTTTCAAGAAGATAAGCAGTGATGTAAATTAACTATGGTATTCCTTTTCTAAGCACTTTGAAATGACAACTCAGTTGCAAACCCTCATATTAAAAGCAACTTGTTGAAATGTAGATTGATATTTGCATCGACAGTGAACTTCAAATTCCAGTAAATACCGAAACATACTCCATTTCAAGTTCTATCAAAAATTCAAATATAAGTTTTCTTGGGCACATCCATTAAAATACTTCAATATTTTTTTTTTTAAAAAAACTACAAGCTGGGAGTTGACCAGGGAGATGTCAGCACATTGAATGATAGATTTCATCTTTTCACTTTTAACATGTTGGATGAGTTGCTACCTTTCTTCTTTCAAATTTGCAACTTGCTGCAAGTTTCAGAAGTGCAAAGATATTTCCAATTGCTATAGATCAGCTAATGCTTCTGACCACATCTGGGGTTTGGACATTGTGGGATGCTAGGTCAGTCTCTTAAGTAACAATTCATTAATCCCCTGATTTACTTCTGTACCATTTTTACCTCATTTTGCAGGAAGGGCGAGTAAATCAGGTGCTTATTTTTTGCCACGATGAACAGAGAGGAGCTTGTTGATTTAGGTGATGTCAACTTACCACGTTTCTACTGCTTCCCTTAGAACTTGCAAGTAAGCTCCTCTGGAAATGGGCAGTAGCAGGACAATTGAATCTTCAGTAGCAGAAATGGAAACAAAAGCCCTGCCTTCTTGGAAATGTGTTTGCAGTGACTGCTTTTCCATGGAATGTCCTTCTTTCCTCATTTTTCTTTCTTCATTTTGCCTATAGATTGCTAGCGTGGCAGTTCCACTCCAAGCTGAGGACCTCCCTGCCATTCCTCAGTCGTCAGTCATTAAAGTGGTGGAAACAGATTTTACTCAGTAACTACTGAGAGTAGGGGAAAGATCTGAACTCCATCTAATTAGGGCAGGAGCATTTTAAAAGGAGAATGAGGAAAGGGGTGCTCAGGAGCTCAGTAGAGTCAGAGGATGAAAAAGTATAAAGTTGGCCAGTGTGGATGTGATAGGCCAGCTGTGCCTGCTGGCTGCAGTTCTCGAAGGCAGGGTTTTATCCTCCCACAGAGACTGGGAGACAGAGGCCTTATCCTTCTTGATGATTTGAACTTGAAGGAGTGGTTCTCAGGTCCTTCAGAGAGAGGCTTCTGAGAGGCCAGGATATTTACAACTGTGAGCCCTTGTTAGTAAATGTTCTAAGAGGTCAGGGAACTGTTATCTGGTGTATTTACCAGGACAAATCTTCTGGCAGCATTAAGCTTTTTCAGGCAGGCACTTTAAGCAGGGATGTGATCATCCATAGGGTCTACCCTGTGCTGCTAGAAGTCACAAGAGTTTGGTCAGGGGTTTGAATGGAGTAGCCAAGTGCAAAGGGTTCTGCAGTCCTCAATGTCACTATTTGTAGCTTATTTCTCTTCCAGACAAAAGTCTGCTTTCCTCTCCAAATCAGATACTTCTATTAGCTGCATTGCAACTTCTAGTTAAATACTAGTCTTGGACAAGTCCCTTTATTTCTCCCTATGCCTCAGTTTGCTCATCTCCAAAAATAGCCCCTATTCTGAAGATTTTTTTTTAAATAACATTGTATCTTTTTAAAAGTATTTTTTTAAAGTCGTAGATGGACACAATACTTCTATTTTGTTTTTATGTGGTGCTGAGGATTGAACCCAGTGTCCCACATGCTAGGCAAACGCTCTACCCCTGAGCTACAACACCAGCCCTCTTGAACATTATTTTGTGGTTGAGAGGGAATGTATCTCTAAAGTCCCAGGTGCATAGAGGAAGCTCAATAATGATTATTATAATTGAAATCAAGTCATACATCCTTGTAACAAGACTGCAGGTTCTCTTGTTTCTGATACATGTTTCCTGTCGTTCAGGTTCAGGGTGAGGTGAAGAAGATGTGGAGTCGGTGGAATCTGTCCATGGACTGGAAAAGGACGCCACCATGTGGCAGCCACAGATACGGCTCCGTGCTCACCACTGTGACTCATAGCACCAGCAGCCATTCCCAGGTGGCTGCCAGCACTCGCCTGGTGCTCCTCTCTGGCAAAACGGCCAAGACAGCCACCCAACAGCCTGACAGCCATGTAACTTTACCCGGCTATGTGTGGAGTAACTCGGACCAGGACTGCCTGCCACACTGCATCCAAGAGGAGACTAAGGAAGGTATTGAGAGGCAGGGAGATGATATTCCAGCGGAGTCTTCCAGACTAATGGAATTTAGTCTAGTCACAGAAGTACGCCAAGGAGAAACCAAGGATGTTTTCTGAGTCAATGATTGTGGCAGCTGGGCATGGTGGTGCACACCTATAATCCCAGCAGCTCAGGAGGCTGATGCAGGAGGATCATGAGTTCAAGATCAACCTCAAAAAAGGGAGGCTTGCTAAGGAACTCAGTGAGACCCGTTTGCTATATAAAATACAAAATAGGTCTGGGGATGTGGTTCAGTGGTCTAGTGCCCCTGAGTTAGATCCCTGGTACAACCCCTAACAAAATTCCTCTGCCTGAGCCTGGGCTGAAAGGTTCAGGGTTAAGGTGTTACTTAATGCTTTCAGGCTCTGTGAGGTGTCTCCTATGGGCGCAAAAGATGAAGTGCCAGGGAGGTAGTTACTTTATTTTGGCATCAAATTCTTTTCTAAATTAATGTGTGGTACTTGCCCTGTAGTTGTTCATTTTTCTGCTACGTTTGCATATAAAAGGTTTCAATTGCTTAGCACTAGCTTTCTCTCATAAATATCACCCTAAATATGATAGAGATCATTTGATGTGTATCATTATTTTCCTTGTGAGAAATTAATACTCTCTTTTCTCTTTCTCACTTTATTGTACTTCTGTCATTACATTCGTTCTGCCTGTGCATGGGAGCAGCTAGGATCTGAAAAATGCATGTTGAAAGATTAAAGATCTAAGAACATGTATGCACTGGAAATTTAGTTGGCTGGACATGGATCAAATAATAAATTTATAACAGTAATGATAGATTCTTTCCTAGAAACAAGGGAAATATTTCAAAAAAGAATATTTCATATATCCCTTCTTTTGAATATGCTCCTCATGACCAGCCAAAACTCAGGTCTTCCCTCCTCTTTCTTTGTAAACCACAACGTATCAAGTGTTTTGCTCATCTGTAAGCTTGGATCTGCAAACTGGTTTTGTTTGTACTCACTTATGTTAGTAAATTACACTGCATCTATATCTTTTTATTTTTTGTTCTATTACAGATGGCATTTTGGATAAATTAAAAGTTTGTTTTAAAAATGCATTTTGGCCCTTTAAAAAATTTCTTTTCATCCTCTCACAGTATTTTTGAGAACTAACCAAACTTTTCTTCTCCAGATCTGCAGTCATTAGTATTTAGCTCTTGTGCTTTACCGAGCTTGAAATGTCAATAAGCATGGAAGTTATGAAAATATTTTTTGGAGCGCATGCCATGAAGCAGACATCCTGTTAGGTTTTTACAACTTCAACCTGGTTGATCTTCACTACAAACTTAGGAATAAGTCTTACCACTGTCATCATTTCCACAGAAGACTCACAGAGTAGAGCAACTTGCCCGGAGTTACCTAACTAGTCATTGACACAGATTCATTCACTTCAAGTCTCAGGTGCTTATAGCCATTGTGCTATACTGTCACCAATATATATGTAGCTCATTGGCCAACCAAATAATTCAACAAATGCCTTCTGGGTAGAGAGTGTTATAGGAACTTGTAATATATTTTTAGCTTCTGTTCCCTCATGAAATTTCTGTCCCCTCATGAAACACATATAGGAAATGAAAAGGATCACAGAGCAACATATACCCAGGCAAAATGACACAGTTGCAACAGAATGTCTCATCTGTTCTATGGAATGATTTAACCAATTTGCAATAGTGTCATAATGAACGAGGTGCTCTGATGTCTACATACCTTTTTGAAAATACTCTACTTCTTTTCCATGCATTTTCCTTCTTCATTCTCTGTTCTATAGTATAGATCATTTACTTCCCTTCCTGTTTATGAAGGTGCTATTGTGGGTATTTAATTCATCTGATTCAATTCTATGTTGTCACACCCTAGTCAGGAGGAAACCGTCATGAGCTGAGTCAGAGATTAACTTCAGTTCTTTGATAATTTTCTGCAAGTTTTTATAAAACTGCCTAACTTCTTTTATAATTCAATTTCACCATTTTTTAAAAAAATGAAGATAGAGCCAGGTGCAGTGGAGCATGTCTGTAATCCCAGCAGCTTGGGAGGCTGAGTGAGGCAGGAGGATCATGAGTTCAAAGCCAGTCTCAGCAACTGTGAGGCGCTAAGCAACTCAGTGAGACCCTGTCTCTAAATAAAATACAAAATAGGGCTGGGGATGTGGCTCAGTGGTTGCGTGCCCCTGAGTTCAATCCCCAGCACCCACAAAAATAAAAGAAGATAGTATTAGTCTACTTCCAAGAAATGTTCTGATTAATAAGAGAAGTCATATATTAAAATATTTTCTAACATGAACATTTTGTATAGATAGTAAGATTAGGTAATTGTTTATTATAATTTCAAATTATTATTTTTTGTCTCTTTATACTATAAAAGTCCTTAATGGTCATTGCAGTATTATAAGGAATTGTAATAGATATATTTTGTTGATAAGGAAAATACCAAGTTATTGCTTCTGAGTCAATTCCAAATTCTAAAGCTAGATCACTACTTCTTTACATTTTTAACAGCTGTGAGTAGAACCTTCAGACTTTCCAAGTTCTCTTCAATTTTACTTATTCACTGATTCAAGAAACACTTAGAATCGACAGATACTCTGCTCTGTGCTGAGGCTACAATAGAGAATGAGGTACAACTTATTCCCTCTAGGAACAAAGAACCCCTGAGTTGTGAGGGCTCTTTGTCTCGTCTAAGTGTGCACTTATCTGTCCAGGTTTTCAAGGTGCTTGTATTCAAATAGTCAGCCTTTTCATCAGGTAAAATACTGGGCAGTTACAAACGAGTGGCTGATCTAGATGCAAAGTCACAAACTACTGGCCCATAAGGTAACTTTGCTTCATACCTATGCTTTATTTGCTCATCCAAGAAGTTTGAAAACATATTATTTAGTTGCCAACATCTAAAATTTGTATGATATCACATAATCTCTGAACAATTAAAGTGCCAGAGGATCTCCTGAGAGTGGAGGTTAGAATTGGCTAGCAGCCTCTTCAGACAGGGCAAGGCCCACATTTGCCCAGTGTTTACTTAGACTTGTCTATTTATTTCCATTACATTCCTGGGCTTTGGACACATTTGACATGTGTCTCTTAATGTAGATGATGAACTTGCATAGAAATAAGCAATGGTTTTCAAAAATATTCTTGAGGAGTGGTAGCCTATGTAGTTTTTATTTTTTTCTAATAAAATCAAGTAACCAGATAGTTTTAGATGTAATGCTCTTGAATTGAAGCTTTAAATATCAATGCTCTGTTTAAATGAGCCCAGTAAGAGGAAAACCCATCACAATTTCTATATTCATACTTCAGATCCCAACCACACTATTTGAATCTTCACTTTCTAAGTCATGACACCAAGGTACTTAATGCTAATGTGACATATATTTTTCTTTCTGGAAATATAGCAAGTTCTAGATGCAAGAGATTTAAATGGTAGGATAGGTTACAGGTGTTTGTGATGATAATCTTGTATGACTTATTGACAGAGACATTAATACTATACACTAGAGATAACCAATTTTTATTGCCCAATGTATAAACAGAAAAAGTTTTGGTCATATAACTTTACTCTGGTTAAATAACATGGAAATACCTTTGGTTTGCATGTTTTAAGTTTGTCACAAACAAACAAACAAACCCAACACTCCTGTTTTCAAACTTTTGGAAAAAGTGAATAAGAGTGAGATGCATAATGTTACACTCAGGGATTAATATTACATAACCCAGAAATGATCTCTCTTAGATATTGCCATAGGCATCTTTGTGTGGCCCTTAAAGATGCCCACATCCTAATCGTCAGAGGCTATGATTGTGTTAGGTCCTATGGCAAAGGCAGATAAAGTTTGCAAGTGGACTTAAGAATTGCTCGTCAGTTGACTTTAGAATAAGGAGATTATCCTAGATTATGTGGGCAAGTCCAATTTAGTCACAAAAGTCCTTTCAAGTGGAAAGAAAGGCAGAAGAGGAAGCAGACTTATGTGATGTAAGGTCTCTGACTCTTGTTGCTGCCTTGGAAGATGGAAGAAGGTACCCCAAGGAAGGAAAGACAGTAGCCTGTAGAAGCTGGACAAGACAAAGAAACGGATTCTCTCTTTGAGCCTTGAAAAAGGAAGACAGCCCTGCTGACATATTCCAGTGAGACTCCAGTGGACTTCTAGTCTATAGAACTTTAAAATCAAAATCTGTGTTGTTTCAAGGTACCAAGTTTGTGGAAGTTTGTTATGGCAGACATAGAAAACTATTACACAGATTCATGTCAGTTTCTAGTATGGAAAGAATTCCAGTGGTTTATTAGATTTAGGCTGTATTACTGTTATTTGCTGGGTTACTTCATGGAGATCAATTATTTTGCCAGTCCTCGTGGTAAGTTATGTGCTGCATTTACAAGGAAAAAAGCTATCTAGTCTGTCATTTGTAACCTCTGTGTATCAACAATTGTTTTATCTTGGAAGTATAAATATTTATATTGTTGATTTTGTTCAAAATCTGTAGAAGGCATTCTCTTTTCCTCTAGAGTTTTAAACATCTTGTTTTATGGGTTGGATATTCATCTTTTCTCTCTTTAGATCTGCTCTGGCTGTTTCTCCAGTCTTAGGCCTTCTAAGACATTGGTTTGCAGGGAATCAGGTTTTCAGGAAAGCTCTTTCCTGTGCATCTAGAGAAATTCTAGGCTACAAAGATGGCCTCATAAAGGTGCTTAGGAATAATGTAGATAAGCTATTAATGTACACCTGCCTTCTTTGAAGAATCGAGCATAGTGTTTTTGGTATATTTTATCATATACAATGCTCCTCAATTTACAATGAGGTCACGTTCTGGTATACCTTTTACAAGTTGAAAATACATTTAATACACTTCACCCACTGGAAGAGCATAGCTTAGCCTAGCATACCTTAAATATGTCCAGAATACTTACATTTTCCTGTAATTGGGCAAAATCTTCTAACACAAATCCTACTTTATTATAGACTCTTGAATACCTCATGTAATTTTTTGAATACTGTACTGAAAATGAAAAACAGCATAGTTATATACGTTTGTTTTCCAACCATCATAGAGTCTAATGTATTGTTAGTTGAACCATCAAGTTAGGGCTACCT